ACAAATCAGTGGACTGGAAAATGATGGAATCGTGTGAATTTCCTGGAAAACCAACACTTGCCCAGATGAAACGATCCTGTGCATCTACAATGGCCATCAATACTATTGAATAAAAGTTCTTCAAGTTATGATACTCTTTACAGGCTTTCAGACCGCCAGGAGGGCACTGAATGGGGATGTGGCACCCATCTACAGCACCCCAGCAGCAGGGGAATTGCCAAAACGCTGTCATATCCACCATTTTCTCCATAATATTCTGTTTGGTGATCGGAAAATGCGCTTGCACCGAAGGTTTTCACAGGTTTCTTATGATCGCTTCACATACTTCCTCTGATTTTGTGAACGGTCGTCACACCAAGGCCAAACAGTTCCGCAATGGTGAATAGGTAGTCACCTCTACATAATCTGTAAAGACATATAGCCAGCCTACATTTGGCAGAAACGGACTGCTCTGTGACAAAATCTTTCTCAATATCAGGTCGAAGACTCTTCAAAATTAAGTTAAACGTATTACTTGATACACGAAAGTTTTTCTTAAATCTTCCTTCATCATAGGACGCCCAAACCAATTCCCACCAACCTGTGTTTTTATGACTGCGACGACAACTGCGAGGTCTTCGAGCGCTAATTTCATCTTCACTTGCCTGTAACATTAGACACGTCAGCAAACAAAGTCGTACGATAAACCTTTTCCTCATTAACACCAATGTAACCATATTACGCCGTAGTTGACGTCGCCGTTTTCTTTCCCTGGAAATTTTCTCGAGCAAAATTGTTTTCAGAGCTTTAGCCCGGGCCATGTTTGTTTCAAAATGACACCTCTGACCAGAGACACTGCATTTGGGAAGAGAATTAAATTCGACCGTATTGATTTCGACGCATAAAACCACGCCACGATTTATGTCGACGGAACGACGAATTTAATGGGATTAAACTCGTCTGAATTAAATTCGACTGTAGCGCGATGTATAAACTAGGCCTTAAGGTCCTTTCTTCTGAATTTATGAAACATTACGAAGTCGCCAGAAATTAATTATTGGATGAAAACCCAAAAAACACATAGTGGAATTTTTCTTACACGATGAGACTTCTGAGTACCGCCTTCAGGTCGCAAAGTAGTGTTGATAACTCGGTAACTTAACTCATGCGTCACTCAACGTCAGGTTTGTTAGTAGTAACCATTGGAGTACTGAACTATGTTATTTAAGTTCCTTCTTGATCCTTCGTCCACGTCGATAAGCTACAAGTTTCCAAACAGTCGTCTACGATTTAAGATTTGACCAGAACACATAGTAAATCAACCAGGTATAACAGTTCGAACGAGTACAGAATATACGTCATTCATTAAAAGTCTGAAGTCCTGCTCAAAGTTTTCTAGGAGTATAGTAAACTGAACCTTAATTTCAATCGCACTTAACTTGACTTGCACTGATTCGGGACTCTTAACCTCGCATAAGAATAATTTAAAAGAAAAACGTCTCTCAAAAGTGACATAAGCCTCTAGGCGTATCACTGCTTTCCGTGGGAGCAATTATAACTCAGCCTCCGCTTTTCCTAAGGTTTCCCCGTCATACCATAGACATTATTGTACTCCCTTTTGGTGGGATGCATTTTCAGAGAGAAGTGTATTCAATGCACAAACACGGAAAGCAAGCATCTTGAAGACCCGTAACTTTTAGCGCTTATTCATCCCTTTGATAAGGCTTACGACAGTAATTTTAATTATGGCGAGGGCTCTTCAACAAAATGTTAAATGTTAACGATGATAAACCTACCAAGAGCAAGTCACCTTTGCGGGCTCCGCTTTAAACCTTGTATACGTTAAGATCCCTGCGGTTGAATGAAGTTATGAATGAATTTATTTCCCACCAGTTTTTACTCACTGTCCTTAATATCGGTTTGATCTCTACAGGTTAGCTACGCACACGATTACGAACAGTTTATCGTTTGCATAACATTTCGTTTATTTGCTCGCGGCTTTCATATATAAAATAAATTTTCCGCCCATTGCCCACACCTTCAAAGCCTATGGTTTCCAACCACTTTAACCTACGGTTAGTATCAGAATTTCTACTATTACATTAATAGATTAGTTTTCTGAGTAAAGTTAGTTTGGACGAGTCTCAAATCCAAGCGTAAGCAAATAATTCTATGTCACGCATATTAAGTGATTATTCAACTTTCTGGTGAAATGAAGATTTTAGCCAGCTTTTACTCACTGTCCTTAATATCGGTTTGATATTGAGGATAAAATCTCTATAAGTGAGCTACGTACACGATTACGAACAGTTTATTATTTGCATAACATCTCGTTTATTTGCTCGCGGCTTTCAGATGTATAAAATACATTTTCCGCCCATTACCCACACGTTCAAAGACCATGGTGTTCAACCATTTTTACCTCTGGTTACCATTACTATGAGTACTATTTCATTGGTAGAGTAGTTTTCTGAGCAAAGTTAGTTTAAACGAGTCTCAAATCCACGCGAAAGCAGATAATGCCTCGTCCACACCAGTGATTATTCAACTTCCTGGTGAAAGGAACATTTTAGCCCAACATTTCATTTATTTGCTCATAGCTTTCAGATAAACAAAGGGACTTCGTTTAATTCTAGAAGTTTATCAAACGACAAATTGATACAGAATATGGTAAACAAAGAAGAGAAAGATAACGAATAGGACGTTGATAAGTTTCCAATACACCGTGTCGAAATTGAGGAATCTCCCGTGAATCTGCAAAAAAACCTTCCAAACCAACTCCCAACAAGTTACTGAACATCAAAATCACGCATTCGTGTTCTTAAAAAAAAAGCAAATTAAGGCAAGACAATTACTTAGATAAGCAAGAATTAGTCATATTTCTGTTCGTCAGGCTATAACTTGAAGATTGCGCGAATTAGCTAGACTATTTATGACACTTTTGACATCGTCATTTGTAACGCGATCCTCGCTTTAGTTTGTTTCACTCAGTGTAAATTGTCTTGCATCCGATTCGCTCTGACAGAGAGCTAAAATCAAAACGTTAATTACTTAAGAATCTCCTTTAGACGGCCAATCAGTAAAACACGGCTTACCTTTGATGAGGATACAGAAATCTTTGCTCTTCAACCGTGCCTTTAACATAACGATTCGCTTGCCGGACATTGCGGCGACATTGGTTGGACGAAATGAAAAGGAACGATGCAACTTATGCGTCGATCAATTCAAAGCTTCAACATCCCCCTCAGGCAACTCCCCAGAAATTTTAACTTTTGAAGATTGTTTTGTTCAATTGCCCCACCCAAGTGCTCTATTTTATCGTCAATCGAATTTTTTGTAGAAGGCAAGATTAGTGACAGGGACTTTCTTGGAGATGTCTTTTTCTGAGCCATCTGCTCGCGAAAGTGAAATTTGAACCTCAAAACACCTCTGTATAAAAAAATATGACACTTTTGTTCCGCTAGAAAGACTTGACAGTTCCGGTTCAAATTTCCCATCCCACCCAGGCGAGGTTCAAAATCCCTACCCCCGGGCACGGAAGACAGTCATATGTCATAAAAGAGTGCGAAGATCTCATGAGAAAGCATGGCGCATGCGAAAGATCAGTTTTTAAAAGGTGGAATGTGAGAAGGAAAATCTTACTCAATTTAAAGTTCCTGGAGATGTTTTATAAGTTGCCAAAGGGAAAACATGTGATCTCCACACTCTATAAAAGTGCTGGGATTACCATTGCAAAAAATATGTTAGCGTGCTCAATAGTCAGGACAACTGAATGTGTGACACAAAGCTCGCTGTTCGTAAGAGGTGGGGGTGTGTTGGGGCAAAGGATGGTCTCCTGGAGCCTCTAAACATGTTACATCTTTGAGGTAATATGTTTGGAAGAGACTGTAATAGAGTTGTTGATCCTACATGGAACTTAATTAAGCTGTGCCGCTATCTCGTAAGCCCGTATTTCCTCTCATTCTTTCTGCTTGTCCGAGATCTAAATCTATACCAACGTGAATGTCGACATGACAACCTGTTACTCTCTAATACTGGACCCTAAATCCGGAAATACCTAGGCCGTTGAATAGTTACCTATTTCTGAATAAACTGTTATCTTGTTACTTGTGTGCATTGCGTTGGGTGGTAAGAGGCGCACGGAAGTCGTTCCCAGTGCATCTCCATTGGTTTTTTACTTATGATCAGTTGGGGGACAGACGGATAAGTGACATCCACATCAGAAAAATTTTGCTTTGTTTATTACATAAAACAAATGTAATCTATGCTACGGTGGGTCTGTTCATTAATATATCACAGAGGACGTCATAAAGCAGTTGGAACATCAGTGACACACTCGCCTGCGCCTAGTGTGCAGGTTTTTCTGTTCTTACCACATTATGACTTCATCTGTGATCTATTACTGAACAGACCACAGCAAAATGGGCGACGATTTTACTTCGCTGTAGCAGCACACCAGCCAAGTAAATCAACTGCCGACACTCTTATTAGCGCCATGTTCCAGCAGTTCGTGATCCAGCCTAGCCTCAAGCCTCCCGACAAAATCTTTCAGTTGCACGTCCTCTAAAGCTTGCCATAAATCAGTGTCGTGATACTTCTCAAAAATGTCGAGATTTTACCTCAATGATCCGCTAAAAAGAAGAGGACTTTGGCCAAGAACCGAGATACCTCGTCGAGCTTGTTGGAGGCCTATTTCTTTAACTGGAACATCGTCGATGATTATCTCTCCATCAGCATCAGGCATACGCATAAGAGCTGCTATAAAAGATGACTTCCCAGCTCCCGTACGGCCGGCAACTCCGATCTTTGCTCCTCCTTTGATATTAAGATTGATATTCTTCTGCACTTGAGGTCCCCCCGGATAGAAGATCAGTGATATGTCTCTCAACACACTACTTCCTCTCCGAGGCCATTCCTTTAGCGGTGTTTGTTCTTCCTCGTATCCAGGCTCCCGGTCAAGTTTGGTGTAGGTCATAACTCGCTCAACTGACGTCATGTAGTTTTCCACCTCAGAGACTTTTCTAACAGCGTATGGTCAGAGTTTGGATGACGTAAACAAGAGCGAGACCAGCGTAAGCTGAAAAGAAAAATTGAAACTTTAATCTATAAATTTCGGACTTGTTATCTCTCGATAACTTAGAACATATAACAAAAACTTTACAACGCTAAGTTACCTAGCCTGATCCAGGCAGTCACTTAATAGGAGGGAATAAATAATGCGTCTTTTTTGCGTCTTTCTCAGTGTCGTTGTTTTGACTCCGAGCTAAGTAGGTGCAGAGGAGTTATCAACACAAGTTTCCCTTTTTAAATCATAGAAGACACTTCAAAGGTTGCTCAGCACTTAAGCCACCTGAGTGACTCGCACGTTTTCGTCGTGTTTAGAAACCACCCGTTGATGAGAGAGCACGTATAGTCACACTTCTTTTATTATTCAATTGTTCATGCTGTGTTAATATACGACTATATAAATTGTTACTTTAAGTAGAGAGATTGAAAATCGTTACTAAGAATTTTAAGCTTACCGGCATCTTGAGATACCAAGATTGCAGCCAGAGCAACTGCACCGACTAAAAAGGAAGCGAGACAATCCAAACGTGCACCGAGCCACCTACCGCTGGCCATCACCATAATGTACGCCTGATTATGAACATCTTGATATCTGAGGGGACGAGTGTTCATTACAATAATTTTTAATGGAGTGATTTTTTAGTTGAGGTTTGAAAATAAACCGGTTGGTATAATTTTTGTTTTACTTCGCTTCGCGATTGTTCCAGCAAACTTGTGCAAAACCAATCGCTTATTGGTCGATCACGTTTGTCAGCGTTCAATACCGTTTCCTTGTTTTTAAGTTAAGTCCTCTGTCACTACTTTTGATCTTTTCTTTTGTTTTGATTGGCTTGTTATTATTAAATTGCAATTTTTTTACGACAATCACTTCAAAAAAAACTCAAAGAGATTACATCTGGTGTGCACACTGAAGTGAGACCAGTGTCTCCTTTGGCCTGACAATGTAACGGAGTCCTTCGACAAATTCCGTCCGACACCCCGCCCTCTCAAAAAGATGTTACTCTCCAATCAACATCCGTAAGCTTCTAGCTAAGTATCCAAAAGATCACTTCCGTAGCCACATCTCAGTTTTAGGCATGCTCCATTCGTCGAGAGAGCCGAATTTGTAAACGATATGGATACTTTTCTATTAAAAATGGTGAATTCTCCGAAAAAAAATTCTTAACTGTTCACTATCACAACTACATCTCTTATACTAAGTATACAATTTATCAGAAGGAGAAGACGAGTGGCACTTGTCTGTATTTCCTGTTAAACTCGTAACGAAGTCCAATTCGGTAAGTAATCATACGAGTGATTAACAGAATCGGACGACTGCGAAGCGGGAGTCTGATTTTTTTAATCACGAGTATTATTAAAGACAGAATTGGACGACATGACGTTCTCTAACCAATTGATCAAAACTATGACAAAATTAGAGAAAGAACTTAAAACCTCTAACAACTAGACAACAGATCTACGTTTTCATTAAAAAAAATGACTTGTCAACTGTGCTATTACACTGTCCAATTACAAGCATGACACTTACACTGTCCTATTAGTGCTCTAATTGGGCTGGTGATAACCAATCACGTTCCATAAATTTGTTACAATTTTGACCAATCGTGAAACTTCTGCGTCACGCGATCTTGTTTATTGACCGTTCATAATATGGGTCTGTTGAAATCCTATCAGAAGAACGCGTTACTGTAGTCTTACCACTAGTAATGCCCTACGTGCCTATTTCGGATAGCTTCGTTTCGAGACCGTGCCTCGTACGGAAAAGTCTACGTGCTGACCAGTGTCTCAGTACATATCAGGTAAGATAACAACAGACGCGATGCAATTTCGTGTATTTCCGGTAAATAAAAAAAAAGTAGCTCCACACAATGAATCAATGTCTCTAACATACCTGTAAAGTGCATCCACAAAATCTGTCTGTCCTCCTCTCGTACCAATTGTATCCAGTCCTCTCAGGCTCTTTGAAAAATGAGCCAATACTGGGCTTCGGGATATCGACTCTAATCTCTTTAGCTCTCTGGCAGTCTTCAGGTAATAATTGAATAGAAAAACAACCAGCACGGAAATTGGAACAATAAGAAACATGAGCCAAACATTTGTGGCGACTGTTACCAGAATTTGGAAAAATATCATCAAGAGCATCTGCACTGCCGCCAAGAATGTTTTGGGTAACATCTCATCAACGCAGCCAATATCATTGGAGAAGCGATTTAGGATTCTTCCCACTGGATTTGAATCAAAGAACAGGACAGGTGCTTGTAAAATGGCCACAACCATTTTATCGTGAAGACGCTCGGCGCACTTTAGACAAATTTTCAAGAATCCATAGGCCCGAACGATGGTAAATATTAAACACGCGCCAACCAGACAGGCGAAGACAGATAGATAAGTCTTCTTCTTCTGATCCTCTGGGTTTAGCCTTGCAAGAAACGAGTGCCACAAGTTTGGAGCGACTATGATGGCTGAAAGAAACACCATTAATATGAAGTGATTAAAATTTATTTCTATATGATCACTCAATTGAACATTAAAAACTTCATTGGGCCTAGAGACAGCCCGCTTGAATTAGCTGCTACCGTTAGTATCTTGGGGATGTCTATGTAAGCGCCACAATGTCACAAAATAGATGAAGCAGTCAACCATGTTACCCATAAATGTGGTTAGAAAACAGCTTTTGGTCTCAGAAAGTTAGTTTGAAGAAATAGTGGTTTTTTAACATTTTTTAGGCAAGTGGAGGTAAGTTCAAGGCAAACGTGAACAGAAAAACGCCAACTCTCCATTTCGCGCGTGACTGGCGCTTCTACGAGTGAGTGAGATATTGGGAACATGGTCAGAGATTTGTGCATTGTCTCTTAGCTCTACCATCTAATCTAAAACCAACGTGTAATGTTGGTTAAAATCATAGCCACTGCGAAGTTATTTGCACGAAAAAGAATAAAAGAAATATAGAAAAAAGGTTGCTTTATTCCCTGTTAGGGCCTGACCCAAGGTTTGTAACTCGCTCTAAAAATACGGTTACCTTGTGAAATGAGACTTTATTCATTCAACCATTCCAGTTATCATCAAAGGATGTGCTCCACTTCTGAAATAGTCCCAGTAAAGCCAGGATGTCAGTACTCCGATTGTACAATCCTCCTTTGGTATCTCCAAAATCTTCGCTTCATTGGGCAGAGGATGTATTTTCTGGCACTTTTCAGCATCATCGTGTTCCCCCTTATCTTCCCAGGAGAGCGGCTCAGATGAACCCACCCGTTTTGTCCTTCAGAGCTACTTTATGGAGCGGGTCGACAATTGAACTGATTACACCTTTGTCGGGCAGCTCAGTAAAGCATCCCTTGTCGAGGACACGCCCTTTGCACAACACAATCACTTCATCAGCATTTTCCATATGCTGTTGCTGATGAGAGGCAAACAGAACGATTTTATCGCCTAGTAGATGCACTTGTTTAAGACGTGTTTGCCAACTTTCAAGTCGACAGCACTCAGTGGATCATCCAATAGATAAATATCTCCTTCAGCATAAACTGCACGAGCTAAACTTACTCTCGCCTGTTGTCCTCCCTCAGAACCTCGCCGCGTTCTCCAACAACTGTTTGGTCACCATCAGGTAACCGCTGAAAGTCTTCTTTCAGAGCGCAGACGTCGATTATTCTTCCGTACTTGGACTCCTCGTAGAGATGGCCAAACAGAATGTTTTCTATCATCGTTCCTGAAAACACCCAAGCAGTGTGAGGCAAGTAATTATAAATGACAGAACTTTGATAATCAATCATCCCAGTGGTGTTGGAAATTTCACCAGCGTTCGCGTGAGAGCAAAGTAGACTTACCACTTCCAACCGGGCCAGTGACAACTGTTAAACTCTTTGAAGGTGCAAAGAAGTTGATATCCAACAGATTTTCCAAAAGAAGGAGTTCTTCGATTCTTCCGAGCGAAACGTAGGCGTTATATGTTAGCATTAAACCAATTGTAATAAACTTCCCACTAAATTTTAAAATACTCATAAACTGTCTGAAATAAAACATTTCGTTAATTTGGTCGCGGCTTTCACATGTAAAAATAAATTTTCCACTCATTGCTAACACCCTCAAAGCCCATTGTTTCCAATTATTTTAACTATGGTTACTGTCACTATGACTACTATTACATTAGTAGATAAGTTTTCTGAGCAAAATTCGATTGGACGAGTCTCAAATCTACGCGAAAGCAGATAATGCTAGGTCACGCATAAGTGATTATTCAACTTCCTGATGAAATGAACATTTAAGCCTAAAATGTCGTTTATTTGCTCGCGGCTTTCAGATATAGAAATACATTTTCCGCCCATTGCCCATACCCTCAAAGAATATCGTTTCCAACCATTTTAACCTTCGGTTACTATTACTATGACTTCTATTCAATTGGTAGATTAGTTTTCTAACCAAAGTTACTTTGGGCGAGTTTCAAATCCACGTGAAAGCAGATATGCCACGTCACGCATATTAAGCGATTTTTCAACTTCCTGGTGAAATAAACATTTTAGCCTAAAATTTCGTTTATTTACTCATATTATCCCTCGCAGAAATGTGCACTACTTGGGCAGTAGTGAAAATAGAAAGTTGGCTTGTTAGCTCAGTTGGTAGAGTGCTGCACCGGTATCGCAGAGGTCATGGGTTCAAATCCCGTACAGGCTTGAATTTTTCTCAGGCCTTATTTTCACTACTGCCTAAGTAGTGCACATTACTGCGAGGATCACTTTCATTCACGTCCCAACAAGTTACTCAACATCAAAGTCATGCACTCGTGTTATTTCAATAAAAAAGCAAATAAAGGCAAGAAAATTAGCTAGATAAGCAAGAGTTAGTCGCATTTTTGTTCGTCAGGTTTTAGCTTGAAGATTGCGCGAATTAGCTAGACTAGCTATTTATGACGCCATTTGTAATGCGATCCTCGCTTTAGTTTGTTTCACTCAGTGTAAATTTTCTTGCATTCGATTCGCTCTGACGAAGGGCTAAAACTCAAAACGTTACTTTAGAATCTCTTTTAGACGGCCAATTAGTAAAACACGGCTTACCGTTGATGGTGGGGGTGTGGTGGGGTAAGGGAGGGTCTCCTGGAGCCTCTAAACATATTACCTCTTTGAGGTAATATGTTTGACGATAAAGAAACTGGAGGCTTATAGATTTGGTGGGCGATCACTTAACCTTACGCGATCATTTTTCGACAATAGACTGAACAGAGTAAAAATGCGTGACGCTACTAGTGACTGGATAAAGGTGGAAAGGGGATGTCCTGAAGGATTGTGTTTCGGCCCCTTACCATGGAACATCTACCAGAACGACATGTCAGTTCATGTAAAAGACGCAAATTTAACTATGTACGCTGATGACCACCAAGTGTACGTCAAAGGAAGGGACCATGAAACAGTAGGAAGTAGAATAAAAATTCATGGCCAGCAAGCACTGTCGTGGTATACAAATAGTTTTCTACTGGCTAATCCAGACAAGTTTCAGTCTCTAAACATTAATCCGTGGAATCTTGATAAGGACAAGAGAGACAAGATGCAGAATATAAACGATCTGGACATTGCGAACTCGGAACTAATCAAATTATTTGGAGTTTACATAGATGATAATCTCAACTTTACTGAGCATATTGGCAAATTATGTAATAAGGCAAGCCAGAAAGTCGGAGTACTCTCTCTTCTTCGAAACTTAATACCCTGCAAGGCTAAGTTACTACTGCATAAATCTTTTATACTACCCTATTTAACTTACTGCCATTTAACTAGGCATTTTTGCAAGTCATCCAAGAAAAGGAAGCTAAAACGAATACAAGAAAGAGCTGTAAGGGTGATATATAAATCCCACTCTGACAAATTTGAAGAACTTTTACAACGTGCTGATATACTTTCTTTATATAACAGACGGCTTCAAGATGTCACTGTACTTACGTACAAAGTTAAACATGGTCTCCTACTTGATTGCATTTCCTATATATTTGTCCCCAAAGTTTTACACACTCGCTGCGGAATAGTGACTTCGTATTACCACGTTTTAGAACTACACGCTACGGCAAACACTCTATTAGATATCATGTTGCTATTTTATTGGTGTCCCCAATTATTCCACCTGGGCTTCACACATTGACAATTAAATAAAGATTTTACGGAATTAGTGACTTTGTATTTCTTCATTCTTTCTGCTTGTCCGAGATCTAAATTTATACCCAAAGTGAATGTTGACATGACAACCTGTTACTCTCTAATATTGGACCCTAAATCTGGAAATACCTAAGCCGTTGAACGGTTTCCTATTTGTGAATAAACTGCGTCACATTAGAGATATTTTAACCTTAGACCGCATATCAGTTGGTGTTTATTATTAAATCAAATTTGTCAAATCCTTTAATTTTTCCATCTTTCAAGACCAAAATCTTCTGGCAGTCTTTTATCGTGTTCAAACGGTGGGCTATTGTGATGACAGTGGACTCCTTCAGTTTGTCCCGCACTACATTCCAAATCGTCTGCTCTGTGTCTGGGTCTAAATGCGCAGTTGGCTCGTCCAAGACGACGATTTTACTTCGCTGTAGCAGCACACGAGCCAAGCAAATCAACTGCCGCTCTCCGACACTCACATTAGCGCCATGTTCCAGCAGTTCGTGATCCAGCTTGGCCTCAAGCCTCCCGACAAAATCTTTCAGTTGCACATCCTCTAAAGCCTGCCATAAATCAGTGTCGTGATACTTCTCAAAAATGTCGAGATTTTTTCTCAATGATCCGCTAAAAAGAAGGGGACTTTGGCCAAGAACCGAGATACCTCGTCGAGCTTGTTGGAGGCCTATTTCTTTAACTGGAACATCGTCGATGATTATCTCTCCATCAGCATCAGGCATGCGCACAAGAGCTGCTATAAAAGATGACTTCCCAGCTCCCGTGCGGCCGGCAACTCCGATCTTTGCTCCTCCTTTGATGCTAAGATTGACATTCTTCAGCACTTCAGGTCCTCCCGGATAGTAGGTCAGTGATACATCTCTCAACACAATACTTCCTCTCCGAGGCCAGTCCTTTGGCGGTGTTCGTTCTTCCTCGTATCCAGGCTCCCGGTCAAGTTTGGTGTATGTCATAACTCGCTCAACTGACGTCATGTAGTTTTCCACTTCGGAGGCTTTTCTAACAGCGTACTGAGTCATGGTCAGAGTTTGGATGACGTAAACAAGAGCGAGACCAGCGTAAGCTGAAATGAAAAATTGAAACTTTAATCTATAAATTCCGGACTTGTTATCTCTCGATAGCTTAAAACATATAACGAAAACTTTACAAGGCTAGGTTAGCTAGCCTAGTCCAGGCAGTCACTTAATAAGAGGGAATTAATAACGCGTCTTTTTACGTCTTTCTCAGTGTCGTTGTTTTGACTCCAAGTTAAGTAGGTGCAGAGGAGTTATCAATACAAGTTTCCCTTTTTAAATCATAGAAGACACTTCAACGTTTGGTCAGTACTTAAGCCACCCGAGTGACTCTCACGTTTCTGTCGTGTTTAGAAACCACCCGTTAATGGAGGGGACGTTTAGGCACACTTATTTTATTGTTCAGTTGTTCATGCTATGTTAATACACGACTATGTAAATTGTTACTTTACATAGAAAGACTCAAAATCGTTACTAAGAATTTTAAGCTTACCGGCATCTTGAGATACCAAGATTGCAGCCAGAGCAACTGCACCGACTAACAAGGAAGCGAGACAATCCAAACGTGCACCGAGCCACCTACCGCTGGCCATCACCAAAATGTACGCCTGATTATGAACATCTTGATATCTGAGGGGACGAGTGTTCATTGCAATAACTTTTAATAATGGGATGATTTTTTAGTTTACTTCTGAAAATAAACCGGATTGTATAAGCTTTGTATTACTTTACTTCGCGATTGGTCCAGCAAACTTGTGCAAAACCAACCGCCTATTGGTCGAACGCGTTTGTCAGCGTTCAATACCGTTTCCTTGTTTTTAAGTTAAGTTCTCTGTCACTACTTTTGATATTTTCTTTTGTTTTGATTGGCTTGTTATTATTAAATTGCAATTTTTTTACGACAATTACTCCAAAAAAAAACTCAAAGAGACTACATCAGGTCTGCACACTGAAGTGAGACCAGTGTCTCCTTTGGCCTGACAATGTAACGGAGTCCTTCAACAAATTCTGCCTGACACCCCACCCTCTCAAAAAGATGTTACTTTCCAATCAACTTCCGTAAGCTTCTACCTAACTGTCCGAAAGATCACTTCCGTAGCCACATCCCAGTCTTAGGCTTCATTCGTCGAGATAAAGTGAGAGCCGCTGGAGCCGAATTTGTTAACGATATGGATCCTTTGCCATTAAAAATGGTGAATTCTCCTAAAAAAGACCAATTCTTAATTGTTCACTATCGCAACTACATCTCTTATACTACGTATAAAATTTATCAGAAGGAGAAAACGAGTGGCACTTGTCTGTATTTCCTGTTAAATTCATAACGAAGTCCAGTTCAGTAAGAAATCATACAAGCGATCCACAGAATCGGACGACTGCGAAGCGTGAGTCTGATCTTTTTAATCACGAGTGTTATTAAAAACAGAATTGGACGACATGACGTTCTCTCACCAATTTATCAAAACTATGACAAAATTAGAGAAAGAACTCTAACAACTAGACAAAAGTTCTACGTTTTCATTAAAAAAAAAACAAAAATCTCGGCGAAATTCGCGACAACAGCGTGCACATACACTTACACGCAGGCATGACTTGTCAACTGTGCTATTACATTGTCCAATTACAAGCATGACACTTACAATGTCCTATTAGTGCTCAAATTGGGCTGGTGATAACCAATCACGTTCCATAAATTTGTTACAGTTTTGACTAATCGTGAAATTTCGGCGTCACGCGATCTTGTTTATTGACCGTTCATATTATGGGTCTCTTTGAAATCCTATCAGAAGAACACGTT